CCAGGGGGGGACGCGGGGCGCCCCACCCCGGCCGTCGGGACCCTTTCCCCGGGTTACAGGCTCCCGGGGTTGCCGGGGAAAGGGACTCCCTCACTCCCCCATCCCGGAGACAGTGACCTGGGGGGCCGGACAATTTGTTCCTTTGCAAATGTGCTTGGAATAAAAAGCCCACTTTCTCCGCGTCCTAAGAGTCTGTTCCCACGGTGCCCCCACCCCCTTTTCTCCGACCCCTCCGACCTTCCCTCCGCCCAGCCTGCCGGCGGGTGGGGGAGAGAAGATCGTGTCTGGAGAGCGAAGACGGGAAACTCGCACGCACTGAGTACACGCTAAGAACCAGGCACCCGCATTGAGGGCTGCGCGTTCACAACACTCGAGAAAGTACGTGTCTAGGTGTCCAAACCCAGGCACGCTCACTCCGTGGGGTCACAGAGGAGGGTGCAGGTGGGGAGAAGGCTTGGGGCTAACCTCGGTCCTCCCTCAGTCCTGCCCGGCTCCGTTCCCGGGAAGAGCCAGATTTAGAAGCTGGGCTGGAAAGCTGGAGGGCATGGGGGTCGCGAGGAATCACCCTCACCTCTGCACTAGGGGCTGGGGGCTCACTCGTAAAACACACGTGTGTCGTGTCACGTTTGCACATATGCAAAGGGACATGAACACTTGAAAGACGCAAGCCACCCAGCCTGGGCATCATAGCAAGAACACGTCTCTACAAAAAATAAAAATAAATTAGCCAGGCATGGTGACGCATGCCTGTAGTCTCAACTATGATGGAAGCTGAGGTGAGAGGATTGCTTGAACCTAGGAGCTGGAGGCTGTAGTGAGGCATGATTGCGCCACTGCACTACATCCTGGGTGACAAGAGGGAGATCCAATCTAAAAAAAAAAAAAAGCCGCAAATCTGATCGTGTCATTCCCTTCCTTAAAATCCTTGGCACTGGCGCCCGGTGCCCCAACTCCTTAACCTGGCTTGCTGCCGGGTTCACCTCACTCGAGCCCCTGTCTTCACACCTCACCCCTTCTTCCCAGAACATCCTGCTCTTTCTCTCTGTGGGGCTCCTTCCTTGGGGCCAGGGCTTCTCCCCCTCTACCGGCACCCTTAGCAGGGCATGCTCAGGCGTCAGCCTCGCATCATCTGTCTGCTCTGCCTGTCACACGTCCATGACCCCTTTTGTGACACTGGTCAGATGGTCGCTGCCTGAGCACTCGGAGGGTGCTGGAAATACGTTTGCATGTGTGTTAACTTGTGTAATCTTCGCCACCCTATGAAGTGGGTGCACTTCAGGCTCACTGTAATGTTGGGAAATCAAAGCAGAAAGAGTTGAGCTTGCCTAGGGTCATTCAGCTGGGGAATGGCTGGACTGGAAATCAATTTGGTGGTCTTTTTTTTTTTTTTTTTTTTTTTGAGTTGAGGTCTCACTCTGTTGCCCAGACTGGATGGAGTGCAGTGGCACAATCACTACTTACTGCAGCCTTGATCTCCTGGGCTCAGGTGATCTTTCCACCTCAGTCTCCCAAGTAGCTGGGACTGTAAATTCGCACCACACACTCAGCTAATATTTTTAGTTTTTGTAGAGACGAGGTCTTGCTATGTTGCCCAGCCTGGTCTCGAACATGTGGGCTTAGGCAATCCTCTGACTCCATTTCCCAAGAGACTCATAGGTAAAAAGACTTGCTCAGGGTCACACAAGTGCTTTAAACTGATTTTCAAGCCAGGTTAAGGAATTGGGCCACCAGGGACCAGTGCCAAGAGTTTTGTTTTGTGTTTGTTTTTGTTTTTGTTTTGAGCCGGAGTCTCACTCTGCCACCTATGCTGGAGTGCAGTGGCATGCTCACGGCCACTGCAGCCTTGACCTGCTGGGCTCAGGCGATCCTTCTGCCTCAGGCTTCCAAGTAGCTGGAACTACAGGTACCAAGCCCAGCTAATTTTTTTTTTTAATTGTAGAGAGGAGGTTTCACCAAGTTGACCAGGGTGGTCTTAAACCCCTGGGCTCGGGCAATCCTCTGACCTCAGCCTCCCAAAGTGCTGGGATTATAGGTGTGAGCCAAGAGCCAAGGGATTTAAGGAAGGGAGTGACGTGATCAGGTTTGCAGATTTTTTTTTTAACAGATGAGTTTAGGGAAGGAATGGGTGGATGATTTCCTGTGTGCACCGGCGGCCTCTACTTTTCACTGCCTTCCAGCCCAGCAGTGGGAATGCCTCAGCTCCCAGGGGACACCTGCAAAGTGCTTTTGTGAAATAAGTGTAGAAGCTCCAAGTTCTTGCTATGCCAAAAGTATCAGGGCACAACTTTATGTCTCTCTCAACTTTGTTTGTTTGTTTGTTTGTTTGTTTGTTTGTTTGTTGGAATAAGGGCCTCACTCTGTCGCCCAGGCTGTAGTGAAGCATCACAATCACAGCTCACTACAGTCTTTACCTCATGAGCTCAGATGATCTTTCCGCCTCAGCCTCCTGAGTAGCTGGGACTACAGGCACGCACTATCACACCTGGCTAATTTTTCAATTTTTTTTTTTTGAATTAGAGTCTCACTCTGTCTCCCAGACTGGAGTGCAGTGGCTGCCCCCCACCACCACAGCCTCGACCTGCTGGGCTCCGGTGATCCTTCTGCCTCAGCCTGCCAAGTAGCCGGAACTACAGGTGCACTACCACACCCGGCTATTTTTGATTTATTGTAGATTTGAGGTCTTGCCAAGTTACCCAGGCGGGTCTCGAAGTCGCGGGGGCTCAGGCAATCCATTCACCTCAGCCTCCCAAAGGCACAGGATTACAGGCTGAGCCACTGAGCCCGGTTTCAATTTTTTTTTTGTAGAAACAAGATCTTCCTATGTTGCCCAGACTCAAAACTCCTAGGCTCAAACAATCCTTCTGTCTCAGCCTCCCAAAGTGCGGGGATTACCAGGCATGAGCTACCACACCCAGCTGCTGTCTCAGCTTTCTTTACTTAACCCTGTCATTGCCTCTGTGAGTGGGTTGGATGATCAGTCCAACTCAGATTGGGACAGAAATGGTCAGAACACCCATCCACTCCCCCCACCTCAGTTGGTCTAAGCCTCTGCTTGGCACACAGACTTCAGATCTCCCGCTCCTTGTGTGAGTTTCAACTCAGTACTCAGTCAACCTGGCAGAGACCTTGTGAGAACAGAGGTCATCTGAGGTGACAGAACTCACTTACTCACTTAGGTGACAGTCCTGGGTGATTCTTTTTTTTTTGAGTTGGAGTCTCACTCTGTTGCCTAGACTGGAGTGCAGTGGCCGCTCCTGGCCACTGCAACCTCGACCTGCTGGGCTCTGGTGATCCTTCCGCCTCAGCCTTCCAAATAGCTGGAACGACAGGTGCGCGCTATGACGCCTGGCTGATTTTTTTATTTATTGTAGAGATGAGGTCTCACCAAGTTGTCCAGGCGGGTCTTGAACCCGTGGGCTCAGGCAATCCACTCACCTCGGCCTCCCAAAGTGCAGGATGACAGGCTGAGCCACCGAGCCCAGCTCCTGGGTGATTCTTGATTTGGGCAGCCAGAACTGGTGTAATCCTCCTGGTCCTCACTACGAGGGTGGTCACTTACCCAAGGTTTCGGTATCAGAGTAAAAGAGGCCAGGAATCTAAGACTGTAACTTGGGCTCTCCTGGTGGCCCCGGGAAGCACCTGGGGGAGGAGGAATGCTTTCTGGGAGTCATCTGGTGCAGGCATGTGATCCCCACAGCCACCTGGCAGGTAGATTCAGTGCTGTATTCCCATTTGGACAAATAAAAGGCAGACACTCCGGGGCATTAAAAAGTGCCTTGGAACTGGGCTCGGTGGCTCAGTCTGTAATCCCGCGCCTTTGGGAGGCTGAGGTGAGCGGATTGCC